AAAAAAAAAAAAAAAAAAACAGTGAGGTCTCACAGAATTCAATCCCAAGGGTGTCATCACTGCTAGGTGACTGGCAGCTATGCCATCCACTCAGCTGCTTGCTTGTCATGCAGTGAATTCTATGACAGACCCATGAAAGAAGATAACAAACACATGCCACAGGAAAGAAAGTGCTTTGAGAAATAAAACTAAATTTCAGCACATTTGTTAACCTTTGCCTTCAAACCATGCTAGGAGCTGGTTGGGTGTGGTGGTTTACTTCTATAATTGTAGCCACCCAAGGCTGACACCTGGATGACTGTGGTTTGAAGTCTTCTTGGGTAGAAAATAAGACTCCATCTCCAATTAGGCAGTCAAAAAAAAAAAACAAAGTAAAGCCTAACCCAGCAAGCAATCTGAGTGATTCTGAAGTCCTCAATTTATACCCTGATGTCAACCAAAAGGATAAAACCTTCAATAGGGAGACAGAAGCTTCTTTTGCTCCAAAGGCCACCAAGTGGTCACCAGGAAGGGCCAGGTCTGGTATGTGAGAACTTACTGCTGGACTTTCAGATCGCGTCCTGGTCTCTCGGAAGAGTTTTGGCATCACTGGAGTGTCAGAGCCATCTTCATCCTCACCATTCCCATCACCCGTCAGATCCTTTGTAAAGGAAACAAACTTTCTGATGTCTGGCAATGACAGTTAATCATATATATGGAAACCCATAATGTAACTCAAAAGAACCTAAAAGACATGTGACTCAATCCTACTCAGGAAGCTGAAACCTATGGGTCCCATCTCAAAATACAAAATCTCCATCAATTATCTCCATTTAACTAGCAAGAAGCCAGGCTGGAGATATGGCTCAGGTGGTAGAGACAGCTAAGCAATCAAGAGACACTGAATTCAAATCCCAGTACTACAAATAAACCTCCCATATATTTGCTGCAGTAGAAAATAGAACCAAGTACTCTACTTTAGCCACAATCCACCCCTTAAACTAAAACTAAACAACTCAGCTAGACGCTGGTGGCTCACACCTATAATCCTACCTACTCAGAAGGATGAGATCTGAGGATCATGGTTCAAAGCCAGCCTGGGCAGGAAAGTCTGTGGGATTCTTATCTCTAATTAACCACCAGAAAACCAGAAGTGGGGCTGGGAATGTAGCTTAGTGGTAGAGTGCTTGCCTGGCATGCATGAAGCCCTGGGTTTGATTCCTCAGTACCACATACATAGAAAAAGCCAGAAGTGGCGCTGTAGCTCAAGTGGTAAATGCTAGCCTTGAGCAAAAGAAGCTCAGGGTCAGTCCCCAGGCCCTGAGTTCAAGCCCCAGGACTGGAAAAAGAAAACCAGAAGTGGCTCAAAGTGGTAGAGCACTAGCCTTGAGCAAGAGCTCAGGGACAGCACCAGGCCAAGTTCAAACCCAATGACCAAGAAAAAAAGAAAAAGGCAAAAAAATCAATATCTGGTCTAAGAAGATTCTGATAGTTCGTTCATCATAGGATCACATCACAAACTCAAGACAGGATTAAAATTAAAGCCCCAGTGATGAGCATATCACAGAGATGAGATGAGTAATATGCCTGTGCCAAGCAGGTGACCAAGGCAACTCTCACCACTTGCAGCATATGGGAAGACTGATGGAGGGAGGGCTGCCTGACAACGGTGGAGAAGCAATGCAGAAGCAATGCGCCCAGCATCGCATCAGACTCCAGGCTTACACCAACACAGAGAACACAAAAGCTAAGCAGTGAGCAGCCAGGAGGAATGCTAGAGGCATAAGAACGTGACTTCACACTTACAACCATGTGCGTGTGGCTTGGGTGAGTTCATTGCATTCCCTTTAAAAATGGGAATAGAAATAAAATCATACATCCATTCTTTTTTCATTAATAGATAAAATTTCAAGGACTGGGGCTATAGCTCTGTACTAGCTAACACACTTCTCTAACATGTGAGGCCCTGGGTTTGGTCCCATTCAGCACCTCAAAAAAAAATGAGTTTTCAGAAATGAAAGCAGTTTGCTATAGTAGAAATATATCAATGTCATTGATCCCTGAGCATGAGAAAAAAAATTTGCACAAATACGCCATAAAATGCAGTAAAAGCCGGGCGTCAGTGGCTCACGTGGGTAATCCTAGCTACTCAGGAGGCCGAGATCTGAAGATCAGGGTTCAAAGCCAGCCAGGGTAGAAAAGTCTATGAGACTATTACCCCAATAAGCCACCAGAAAGCCGGAAGTGGCACTGTGGCTCAAGTGGTAGAGTGCTCTCCTTGAGCTGAAGAGCACAGGGATAGGGCCCAAGCCCAGAGTTCAAAACCCATGACCAACAAAAAGAAAAAAAATGCAGTAAAATTTAACTTAATTTACTAAAATGCATGCCTTAAAGTCCCCACCCTGGGTGACAGTGAGACCTTGTTTCACAAGTTGGAGGCATGACTCAGGTACTAGGAAGCAGAAGTTCAAACTATCATATAGTCAAAACAACAAAAAGATTTTAGCTTGCAGATCATAATTCTGAGCCTTAGGATGCCCATTACATAAAAGGTAAATGTCCTTAAGGAGACCGTACCTGGGTGTAACTCAGCAGACTGGAGACCTCCCTCTTAGACAGTCGTGAACTTGATCTGCGGCCTACGGAGGAAGAGCAGAGCCTGTGTTTGGAGGAAAGGCAGATACCAGCCTTGCTGACAAGCTACCTCCCGATAATGGCTGTGCCCTGGCAGCCTTAAACCAGTGTTCAGCCAATAGAACACAGGCACATAAATCTGACTGAATCCATTTCTGAAGGAAGATGTATGCTGTTCTTTAGTCCTTTGCTGCCAACCATACTGCAAGTGTTCACATAGGACAGTGGAAAAAACAGACTACATTTCACAAAGAAAGTTTCTAGAGGGATGGCACAGATCAACGACAAGACAGGATACTACTGTACATTCCCAAACAGTGGGGCAGAATCAGGAAAGAGAAATAGAAAGCAAAGCTAAGAGCTCCTGATCACACCCCAGTCCCAGCTCAGGAGAGTGCACCAAACTACGGAAGGACCAGTGATCTGGGGCTGTATTGGGACCACCCCCTGAAAAGGACAGAGGATCAACTTTCATTTTCCCTGTCCTCAGCCTCCTACTTGAGCTGACAGGAAAGGGGCACATGTGGCAGTGTGCAGAGATGAAATGGGGCTATGACTCATCGTATACAGGAGCTAGCTCTTCCTTCCAAGGGATGTATGTGCATCATCTCAAACTACTGAGCCTGGAGGACCCTTTGCTGAGATTTGGTCTGCAGGAGCCACGCAAAAATTCCCCTCCCCCCGGCCCAGCCACCTCTGATCTCCGGGGTGCGGATAGCCTCTAGGATTGGGGGCGAGGGGGCATCCTTGGAATCTGAGGATTGGTCGCTGCAGGCCCCATTGATGGAGTCTTCCCTCCCACTACGGCCCTCTTCTTCATTAAGGTGTCTGGTGTCACCCTTCATTGTTTCCTGTGGAAGAAAGTCAAAATGGGTAAAGGAGAAAAGAGGGTCACCATGGGGCAGCACCCTTCCAATAATCAGGTCACTTGGCTCTCTACCTATTTGCTCAGGCCAATCCATAAAGCAATCTCACAGTGACATATTGCCCCAGGACCCCTCCCAGGTTGGCTCTATTGCCAAGCCCCTCCCAAATGCCATGTGTCCCAAAAGCTCAGGTGCCAGCACCCAGCACAAGAGACAAGAACACAAGTCTGAGGCTCAACTCAGGCTGCTCTGTGCAATTAACAATGCCATTTAGGTCCTGCTTGCCCTGGCCTGTCAGCTTCTGTCCCCTTTCTCTGGCCCCTTACCCCCTGCCCAGCCTCTCTAGTGCCTCAGGAAGCCAGTGCATTATCTCTCCTGACCCCTTTGTTTGGTCTCCCTTCCCCTCAATCTGTAGGCCTTCTTCCAGACCTCTCTCCTCCCCCACATAACCTTCTCTCCTCTCTGTGGCAGCCCAAGCCACGCCCCACCCCATCCCCATCCCCAAGGATGCATTGGTCTTGCAGCCTGTGGCGCACCTCCCCCCCCCACACTCTCTCTCTCTCTCTCTCTCTCTCAACTCAACAGCTGAGGCTGTGAGTTCCAAGTTCCCAAAAAAAGGTTAAAGGCAGTACTGGAGCTGTGGACATTAAGCACCTCTATTTCCAGGATTAAGTGTCCCCACCATGGCCCCTCGTGATAAATCAGCTAAGATATGCTGCCAGTTCCTACTGATGGCTGACCGGCCCCATGACCTTTGCCCTAACCCACTGGCTGCAATATTGTGGGCATTTGTTGGATATAAGAACTTGCACCTTAAGCCAGGCACTGGTGGCTCACGCCTGTAATCCTAGCTACTCAGGAGGATGAGATCTGAGGATCTCGGTTCAAAGCCAGCCCGGGCAGGAGAGACCATGAGACTCCTATCTCCAATAAACCACCAGAAAACCAGAAGTGGCGCGCTGTAGCTCAAGTGGTAGAGCTCGCCTTGAGCTGAAGAGCTGAGGGACAGCACCCAGGCCCAGAGTTCAAGCCCCACAAATGACAAAAAAAAAAAAGAACTTGCACCTTTTCTAATAGGAACATGGCTAAAGGGTGTGAGTGCTTGCCTTGCACACAGAAAATCTGGGGTCAACAGCACTACCAAAAAGGAAAAAGAAAACCTGATATACAAGGTTTCTTTACAAGGTTTTGATATCCATCAGATGCATCAAATCCCAGCAGTGAGGAAGGATAGAGAATTAGCTTGAGTCCAGCCTTTGCTACATATAGAGGAAAAACAAAATTATTTGTGCACAATGTTCAACCCTCAGCACTTCTAAAAACAAACCACTGTAAAGAGGCAGATAAGGGCACACACAGCTATAATTACTACACTTAAGAGTCAAGACCAGGCTATACAGTAAGAACTTGTCTCAAAAAAATAAACATTGTGGCCAGAATTAGGTACAAGCTGCAAAAGTTACAAATCCCAAATGGGTGTCCTCTAGGTTTTTGTCATCTTTTTGTGTTTGGTGGTACTAAGGTTTGAATGCAGAGCCTCTACCATTTGGGTTATGTCCCCAGACATGTTTTGTCCTTTTTTTGTGCTGGTCCTGGGGCTTAAACAACTGAGGGCCTGGAGGCTATCTGAGCTTTCTTTTGTTATTGTTTGTATTTTAGCTCAAGGCTAGCATTCTCCCTCTTGAGCCACAGCTCCATTTCTTCTTTTTTTAGCTGGTAAGTCTCATGGACATTTCTGCCCAGGCTGGTTTGGAACCACAATCCTCAGTTGTCAACATCCTGAGTAGCTAGTATTATAAGCATGAACCACAAACACCCAGCATAGAACTTTTTTAAAATATCCATTCCCCAAGAGTTAATGTTTTAAACTAAATAATTAAAGAATTGGAGCTGGGTGCCAGTGGCTCATGCCTGTAATCCTAGCTACTCAGGAGGCTGAGATCTGAGGATCACAGTTCAAAGCCATCCAGAGCAGTCAAGCCTCCAATTAACCACCAGAAAAATAGAAATGGAACTGTGACTCAAGTGGTAGAGCACTATCCTTGAGCTGAAAAACTGAGGGACAGTGCCAAGGCCCAGAGTTCAAGCCTCATGACCGACAACAAAAAAACAGAATTAAGAGGGAAGTTCTTGGGTCTCTGAGCCACAGGCATCCGGCAGTTTTTTCAAATAGCTTCAGTCTGATGCTGGCCACTATAATCTCAGCCTTAAGTATATGAACCCATCAAGCCAGACTTATTTGTTGAAACCAGGCTGTAGCAATATGTTGTCCAGGCTGGCCTCAATCTTGAACATTAATCCTCTGATCTCTTCTCCAGAGTTAACTGGAATAGCTTTATGTGACCATGGCTGCCTATGAATCCCAGTTTAAGTCATTTACAAACCCCTCAAGTCCCTATTTCCCACAGTTCCCCTCCTTGCTCCTGTCCCCAGAATACCTTCCCCTCTAGAAGAACCATCTGGAACTACCAGGCTGGGAGATTATTAGAGGGTGATGCATGTCCACCAGGGGGCAGTATATAAGTCAGTAATGATGTCCCCAGGTTGATTTGCATTTTATGCAGCACCTTCTAAGCATTGACAAGAGGCAAGTAAAGGCCCAGAAGGCAGCAACTATGAAACAGCTGCCCTGGCATTAGCTAAGAACTGCTTAGAATTGCAATATTTTAGGCACCTCCTCAATTCTTGACTAACATGTACTTCAGAGAAGTGGGACTCTGATCATAAACAGATGAATATGGTGTTCACCTGGGGTCATCTGCTCCACGTAGACCAATATTCCTGGGTTCTTGATTTTCCCACAAGGAACTGCTTCTGCTGTCAACCACAGGCATGTGACCATGTCCATTAGTCACTTCTCAGCCCCTTACCTTCTCCCAAGGCCTGAGCCACAAGAACAGGCTGGCTAGTCTATCGTCAGTCCCTAGGAAGCCCAACAACAAAAATGCCATGAAAGCTGGTAGACTATGGGTTCAGAAATTAATCCCAGTGTTTCACCTTAACCCAAATCAGCAGCCTAGAACAGTGGAGGACCCCAAAAGGGCCCACTAACTAAAGGAGCTCTGTGGGGATAGGGAGGGCGGGGCACACAACACAGGTCTTGTTGTCTGGAGCTGATGGCTGACCAGTGTCAAAATGGAAGGTCAGTGGTGGGTTTCTGACAACCTTGGACTTCAGTTGCTAGCAATCCCTAAGCAGATCAACAACAGACAGGACTACTCCCTCTTCCTAGACATAGACAGGCACAAGTGGAGCTGCAGCCCAGGGGCTGACAATGATTAACTACCTTGGGCCACACCACAGGGCCTCCTTGAGTGCCTGTTCATCTGGCAGTTTGAACTGGAAGCAACACATCTAAAATTGGACCTCAACATTCCAGAAAAACCTTCCCTGGACACCCATCCAGGGGCAGTGCTCGGCTCCAATCTCTGTCCACAGGCTGCCCACTAGCCAAAGAAATGTGGACTCCAGCAGGGTGCTGATGGCTCACACCTGTAATTTAACTACTCAGGAGGCTGAGATCTGAGCATCACCATTCAAAGCCTGGGCAGGAAAGTCCAATAAACCACTAGAAAACCAGATGTGGCGCTGTGACTCAAGCGGTAGTGTGCTCGCCTTGAGCTGAAGAGCTGAGGGACAGCACTCAAGCCCAGAGTTGAAGCCCCACAACAAACAAAAACAAAAAAGTAGGGCTGGGAAGGTGGCTCAGTGGTAGTACTTGCCTTGCATGCATAAGGCCCTTGGTTCCATTCCTCAGCACCACATAAGCAGAAAAAGCTGGAAGTGGCACTGTGGCTCAAGTGATAGAGCGCTAGCCTTGAGCTTAAGAGCTGAGGGACACCGCCCAGACCCAGAGTTCAGGCCCCACGACTGGCAAAAAATAAAATAAATAAAAAATAAATAAATAAAAAGAAATGCAGACACAACCATATGCCAATTCTTGCAGCCTGGACAGAAACTGTGCAGCTACATGATTAATTAGGTAACATGCATCAAAGCAGAGTTCGCTCGCCAGAACCAAAAAAGAAATCTGTGGCCCCCACGGGGCTGGGAAGGTGGCTCAGTGGTAGAGTGCTTGCCTTGCATGCCTGAGGCCCTGGGTTCGATTCCTCAGCACCACAGAAGCAAAAAAAAAGCCAGAAGTTGCGCTATGGCTCAAGTGGTAGAGCGCTAGCCTTGAGCTGAAGAGCTAAGGGACAGCGCCCAGGCCCAGAGTTCAGGCCCCAGGATCAGACCCTCCCCCCAAAAAAAAAATCTGTGGCCCCACCACAGCATGGGGACAAGTCTAAACAAGTGGTAAGGTTTTTTCCTTTCCATAACTTACAAGTAAACAAGCTGTAGTCTGTGCTTTACCTATGTTAATTCATTTAATCCTTTATAATACTGGTTCCTACTTCCTCAGTTTTGCAGAGGAAAACAAAGGCACCAGGCAAAAGAACATACAGGCTGTGTGAGGTACAGCTCCAATGATACAACTTGACATTACCATATGCTAGACTCAAAGAGAAAAAGACAAGGACAGGGACAAACTCTTATGAGCACGGAGACAGAAACAGTGGAGATGCAGTGTAATGCCCAATAAATCTCACCCAGGAATGCCTTCTACTTCTCTGGACCTCAGTTTAACTTCTACAAGTCAAGGTTAGCATTTCCTGGGTAATACTGCGCATCACAAGCCAATTGCCTTGGGCTGGGAAGGTGGCTCAGTGGTAGAGAGCTTGCCTTGCATGCATGAGGCCCTTGGTTCCATTCCTCAGCACCACATAAGCAAAAAGAAAAAAGCCAGAAGTAGCACTGTGGCTCAAGTGGTAGAGCACTAGCTAGCCTTGAGCTGAAGAGCTGAGGGGCAGCGCCCAGGCCCAGAGTTCAGGCCATGACCAGACCCTACCCCCCCAAAAAAAAAAAAGCCAATTGCCTTATCTAATTTGATCACTATGCTGCTTAAGGAAAAATCAGGACCTAACTTACTTTTTTAGAGG